CGGGGCCGGGGCCGGACCGGGGGTTCGGGGGGGGCCGGGCCCCCGGTCCGTTTCGGGGGCCCCCCGGAGGAGGGCGTGCCGTGGACCCGGAGGCGCAGCTGGCGGCCACGGGGGGAAGGGGGGTGGGTGGGCTGAGAGCAGTTTGGCGGCAGGCCAGCCTGCCCCGCCTCTTCCCCCAACCCCCGTCGACCTTGTCGGCCGAAGCTTCCCGGAGCTCCTCACGCCGGCGTGATGGCGACTGCTGCGGAGGCGGAGGCGGAGGCCTCTCAGCCGACGGACGCTAGCTGGGAAAGTGGCGGCGGCGGTGGAGACGACGAGATGAAGCAGGCGCTTCCGGAGCTTGAGTCTTCCCCGCAAAATGGCGGCGGCCTCAGCATCGCGGAACCCGGCGGCGGCGCCGGGCCTGAGGAGACCGCGGCTGCCGAGGCCGCCCCGAGCCTCTGCCACGAGCAGCCTCAGGACTCGTCTGAGGCGGGCGCGGCCGCCTTGCCCAAAGGCCCCGAAGAGCCCGAAAAACCCGTTAGGAGGAGTTTTCAGATCCCCAGGAAGAGCAGAGAAAAGAAAGGTGGTGCTTCCCCTCTTTCCCAACCCCTCTTTCTCTCTCCCCTCCATCTTTTCATTAGAACCTTTCTCTCCTTCCCACACCCATCCGAGACACGTAAACACGCATGCAGCGCCAGCCGCCTCTCCCCTCACTGCCACGGCCGCCCAGCTGCTGCGCTTGGTGCGAGAGGAAAGCGGTGGAACCACGCTCCCCTGCTCCCCCTCTTCCCGTGGAAGTTGGAAGTAGCTCAGGTTTGAAGCTTGTCCGTAAGGCTGCAGCTCCCAGAGAGGAAAGATGGTGCTCGGCGCCCCTCCCTTCTAACCCCTGAAGGCAGAAAAGCTGGTGTGTCCTCCTAAGGATGCTTCTGAGAAGTCTCAAGGTGGAAATAACCCGTGGCCATGGATTCTGGGGCTTTCTCCAAGGCCATTGCGTTGAAAGGACAAGTGCTTCTCCTTCTGGAAATTCTTCAGCTATATGTGTCTACTTGAAATTTGCTCGATGTCAGCGTCTTCTCTTGTTTAGAAATCTCCGTTAGATGTGATCCATGCACAATGCTATTTTCCATCACACTTCATTTCCATGTAGATTTTTTTCTTGTTTTTGAAGCGTTAGATAGGTCTCTCTTTCTAAATTCAAATTTTAGTATGTATTTTCTTGTATTTGAGAAGATTGGGAAGGTAGGTTCTTGGTGCAGTAATTTCCCTATGGAAAAAAAATAGCGTTTAGTTTATGCCCAAGAGTCACCAACTTGATCTTGCGGATGAGAGAATTTAAGAAAAAAATTTTAAAAGTCTAGTCTAGTTTTTGGAACCAAATGGGAACAGTTACATAAACTAAGTTTATTTCCTTAAAATTTAATGCCATATTGCGATACGTTTCTAATGGAGAAAATTAGCGTTTTCTATTAGAATACAGTTTTTGACTATCCAGTGATTTGGGGTATTCTGGATTTAGTTAAAGGCTCTCTGTGTTTTAGTCCTTGGTTCAGTTTTTCTTGATTTAACTTTGGAAAGTAATGGAAATTTTCTTATTTGCAGAAAACTTTATTTGCAATTTGAATCTTGGTGAAGAAATCTTGAAGCATGTGCTTCGTTTTTCCTTGTGCATAACCAGCTCCATTTGCACAACTGAAATTGTTAGCCTTTTGCCAGTAAGCTACAAGTCAAGTTGTTAATTTACTTTTCGATGACAAAGCCAAGGAAATCCTTGGTGTAAGAAACCACGTTGACATAGGTGAAGTTACCGTTTGTCCACTAGCATGAGGAATGTTTCTAGAAATATCTCTTAAGTTAATGTAATATATTTTAGGGTTCAAGAGTTGTTGTAAAGGTTATCAGATCTTCTGGCTTATTTAGTTAAGGTGTATGGTATAGTCTGTATGAGGTTAGTTAGATTTCAGCCTAAATTATCAATTGCTAGATCGCAGGTAGGAAGCACATTCAGGTGGGTTCTGTTTATATGGGGTTGAAGTAGGAGGTTGAACTTTTCTTTTTTTTAGCTTGATAAAATTTTGAAGTCCCATTTTTTTAGGGATTTAAGTAAAGCATAAACCATGATGTACCTCCTTTTAACTTTCGATAGGGCCAGAAAATTGGCCTAAAAACCCTCAGTTTGGATGGAAATGAGGGAGGCCACAAGGAAATGTTGAAAGGCATTGTTTGCATGTTTCTTTTAAATTATATAAATCCAGAGGTTGCTGTAAAAGAGATTTCATTTGAACACACTAAAAGTGAATATAATTGAGGAATTAGGAAATATAAAACCAAGCTGTTTTCTCCCCTGTGTGTGACGCTGAGGAGGAAATTTGTATTTTCCGCGTTTGCTTAGAGGCAGAAAGGTTGTTACCTTTCTCCTGTCAGGGAGGTTTTGGAAAGGAAAATATAACTGGACTTTTTTCATGTTTAGTGAAATGAGTAATTTTTAACTTGTCTAAATATTTGTACACTGAGCAACAGCTGTTCAAATAGTGCAATAACAATTTAAATAGAGCTTTTGAAACTTAAATAAGCAGCTTTTTACCACCATGGACTTAATTCTGTCCAACCTGAAAGATGTTTGTGCTTGGTGATTGAGTTTAATAGAAAAATTTAACTTTTCACTATTAAAAAACGGTGCTTTAATCAGAAATAGTGCTTCAGGTACTGCTTAGTTTCCCACTTGATCCCAAAATACCTCCTCTTGGAAAACTTGAAAGGTATCACTTTATGAATAGAATTCGGCTAAGTATTAGTTGTAGTCATCTGAGTCTATTAAGAATATTAAAGTGTTTTCGGTAGATATCTCTGCTTGAAGTTTTCAGCATCAAAGGGTCTGTTGCATTCATATTTTAAAATGGCAGACCTTTACTTGTGACTGTTTTTCCAGTGAAATTTAAGATTAGGGCGTGTATATTTTTGGTACCTTAAAGGTAAATACTGTGTGATTTGTAACTGGTTGACTCAGTTCTTTTCTTGGCCTTGCCAGTAGCATAACATCCAAAATACTGCCATTCTATTGTCAAGGTAATACTATTGGCAAAACTTTATAGTGCTTGGTAAGTCGTAGGCATTGTTCTAAACAGTTTACATGTATTAACTAAATCTCAATAATCCTATGTGATAGGTACTGTTTCCCATTCTACAGATGAGGAAACTGAACTAATGGGTAAATAATTTGCCCAAGGTCATACAGCTAGTAAATGGTGGAGTTGGAATTTGAACTTACAGTTAGAATACTTCCTATTTCTTATTTATTGTATAAAAATTTCAGTTCACTTAAAAATTTTTTTAACCTCTGTTAAATTTAGTGATGTTTAGTAAGTCTTCATTCCTGGGGAATTTTGAGATCCAGAAATTAAGTTCATTATAAAATGAACACATTTAATCAGTACTGACAGATTGACCTATTGACTGGAAGATTAGTAATTTTACCCTTTATGATCTATGTGTTACTGTATGACATAGTTGGCTGGGCTACTTTCAATCCTAAGGCACTGTTACTACATTTAACCAAATGTTGGAATTGCACATTTTGTCAGTAAACGTTTCACTTTCTTTTATGCTAAAATCTAATGGTACAGGTCATCAAAAGTAAACTAAAATTGGTAATTATATTTGATATAATTTTTCCCTCCAAAGTTCTTGGGAAATGAAGTAGTAATGATTCACTTTCTGGAAAATGTTTATTGGTTAATGCTTTATGTAGGGCCCAAGATTAACTGCTCTCACTCACCTGCATCCATACTGGTTTTGTTTAGGAGAATTAATGGCTAATTCTCTCCAATCCTCATCTTTTCCCACAAAATTTGGAGTTTTGTTTTTGAAAACTTTGGAGTTAAGTCTCCTTCTTAAGGAAATTTGCATGGTGGTGTAGTAGTTGTATATAAATGGCTTGGTTCTAAGTACCATAGATTTCCCTACATAGAAGTAAATCTGAGCAGGAAAGTATAGGCAGAATCCAGTCATCCACATAAAACATTTGACAGGTGGATATAAATTCTGAGTAGTGGAGGTAAAATTTTCTTTGACCTATTGCCCAGTCCAAAAATGTCAAGTTTCATATTTGTTATCTCTGCTGCATATTCATTCCTAATTCTGCAGTATGTTCAGTCATACTTAGAGATGAAACATCCATTCCTCAAGTATTTCTGTAGTAATTTCGTTAGACTGAAGAAAAGTGATTTTTTCAAGTACCTAAATTATTGTGAGGAACAAATGGATATGCACTGTATTTTAATCATTAGCACTGGTAGACATCAGAGAGACGGAGTCAGAGAGAACTGCAGACTAATGTGATCCTCAGTGTCCTCTGCTATTTCCTTTTCTTCCATGAGTTACTTACGTTGGAATGTATATTTTGTATTATCTCTTGGTGTATTTTGATAACATTGGTCCATCTTATTTTAAAAGTTTGGCTTATTTTTATGTATATGTTTATGTGTTTTCTTTTTTTTAACATATACACATAATCTTAATGCAAACACACAGATTGGCATTAACACTAAATTGGTAAAAGTAGTTGAGGAAAAAATGTTCTTTTGACTAAAGAACAAAGCTCCTATTTGATGACCTTAATTCTATGTCTATTCCAGCTGCTTAAATATAGCATTGACTTCTTAGTATGTTTTGTATGCTACCAGTAATAAAAAATACTCAATTCTAGTTCTGATTTTGTGATACAGTCAGTTTCCTTTTTTGAATTGTAAATCTCCAAGTGCCTTTCTAAATCCGTTCTTGAATCTCATAAAACACATCTATAATCAGTTTTGTCCATAGAGAAACCTTGTGAATTATCAAAAGTCAACTCAGTAGGCATCTTTCTGACATGGATTTGGAGATTCTGTAAATAAGGAAAATTATGTTTCTTAATGTCTACAAGAATTATGACTGCTGTTAATCTTTAAACCAAAAAGAGGTGTTAGTTATGACTTTTGGCCATGTTAAATGTGTTAAAATGAGAAAGAAATATTAGGAAATTTGAGAGAAGACATAAGAGGGTAGAAAGAACATTTTAGACATCAAATTCCTTTCATAGCTTTTTAAAAAAAAGTTCCATATAGCTAATATAATTTCTTGGTCTAAAATGAGGAAACAATTCTATTTTTCCCATCTCTTGGAACAAGTAGTTTCATCTCTTATGCTCACACACGTATCTTTTCTTTTACTTACAGTTCAGGATACAGCATTTGCAGCTAGGCAGCCTGAATTTGAATCTCACCTGCCCTATTCATTTATTAACATTAGGCCAAGTTAACTGTTAGCGGTCCCAGTTTCATTTGCGAAATAGGCATAATGAGCTAAAGTGATTTTGATGACTAAATGAGATAATGCATGTAAAGTTCTTACTCTTAAAGTAAATAATGACCCACTCTTTGTTAGACTCAGTAATTGGCAGAATTCGGAGAATAATAGATTGGATACTGACTTCCTTAAGTGAAATGGATGATTAAATATATAAAATGTTGTGTTCTCCACTTGGGTTGTCATAAGGTTGTTTATTATTGCCTTAAATGATAGCCAATAATATTACCATGTGTATATGTTTTCTTTAAAAGAAGTGACAGGATATATTGTTCAGGGTATATTCTTCAGAAGGTTACTAAGGACAAAATAGACCACCAGGGAATGTACATTCAGAACTTGTTATACTTCTAAACTACCATCACCAGCACGTTGACTTGAAATCTTCAAAAATAGTTACAGCAGAATTTTATTTTCTAGAAACTGATAATTGGGAAGAAAAAAAATGAAATTATGACTCTGGCCTAACTAGTAAAGCCAACTGAGGTATTTGAAATATAAAATACCTAGGGTACAGACATTGTTATACCTAAAATCTTTTGCCTTTTTCTATATTTTTATTCACAATTTTTTTTTTCGCATGGGCAGTCTACTTGAGTATGTTTGGGGTGACTGGGACATTGCTTTGGAATGAAACAAGTGTTAAAGTACTTGGAGAATAATTTGAAAGTTAATTTTTATATAACTTCGATCTTTCACTTATGGTTAAATTGAGATGGAAATAGTGTTGGAGTAGCTTAACTAAGGAAAAATTTTTAATGTGGATTTGTAAAATTGCATAGAAATTTAAAGCCACTTGATACTTTTTGACACATTTTAGATATCTGAAGTCAGTTCTTAGTTTGGAAACAAAAATCAATCATGCATAAAAGCTAACTTTAAAAATCATGCTTGGCCCATTTTGGATGTGAATGCTTACAAAAACTATTCCACGTGCTATTTTCCTTGGCAAGTTTTTCCCAATTTCATTGGGGACAGATGCAAAGATAAAATGTTTTTTCCTACTACATTCTCTAAAAAACATTTAAGTTGAGAGAATGGGTTTCTCTCTCTTTTTTGAGGTTTCATTTTGTTTTATGTATTACTGAATTGTTAAATTTGTGAAACCTAATTTAAAATAAGTCATATCTTGGTAGTTTAGAATATATTTGTATTCAATGTAAAATGTTTACAACATTTATTCTCATTTTCCTTATTCAGCCATTCAACTTGGGGCCAGTTCTAGCTATTGGCATATGGTAAAGATAGAGTAATGAACAAGGCAGATAAAGTTCCTCCTCTCATGGAGCTTACAATCAATAGATTATTAAGTATATTCATCTGCTACAAACTTGATTACAGGACATGTTGTGTTTAATAGTTCTTTAGTTCTTTTTCAGTATTTTATTTTTTCTTCTTACTCCTAGTCAGTGTCTTTACTGCATTATTATAACTATGTTGATTTTAATTGCCTCTACCTGCCTTTTTTGTGTGCAGTTCCAAAATAGTGGGAACCATTTGTTCTATACACATTCTGTCATTGAAAACTGTACTTTGAAGGACACTTGTAGTAGACACATGGTTTGGTAGATGAATGGGTACGTCATTTGATATTATGTCCGTTAAAGCCTAATAACTGTATAGTGAAATATAGTGAAAACAGCTTATTAGTTAGCTGGCTGTCCTTTGAAAGTATGTACAAGTAGAACATTGTTTTCAGTAGTGGCCTAAAAGTATTTTCACTGCCATTTATTGACTATAAATAGAGACTTGAAAGAAATTAAGTTAACAGCATATAACATAAGTTCTGTAAATATAGTGAAAAGTAAGTTCTTTTTGCTATTGGAGAAAATGTATGTATAGACTTGGATGTTTGAAATTTATTAAACTATTTCATACATGAAGTAGACATTTTGAGGTTATTAGGCCACTGGTCGAATGAATTGGGTATTTGACTTAATTTTTTTTGAGATTAAAAAAAATTTTATTTTTTAGAGGAGGAGGTAATTAAGTTTACTTATCTATTTACTTTTTGAGAGGAGGTATTGGGAATTGAACCTAGGACCTTGTGTGTGCTGAGCATGTGCTCTACCACTTGAACTACACCCTTCCCCTGGATATTTGACTTAAATATTTTAAAAATTAAGTGGAGTGAGCAATAATTGGAGTGGGGGATAAAAACTTTCTATGTATTTTTATTGAAGTATAAGTCAATTTACAATGTTGTGTCACTTTTCTTGTGTACAGCACAATTCTTCAGTCATACATGAACATACATATATTCATTTTCATTTTTTTACCGTGTTACTACAAGATGTTGAATATAGTTTTATGCTATACAGTATGAGCTTGTTATTTATCTATTTTATGTATATTAGTTAGTATCTGCAAATCTAGAACTCCCAGTTTATCCCTTCCCACCCTGTTACCCCCTGGTAACCATAAGTTTGTTTTCTGTGTTTGTGAGTCTGTTTCTGTTTTGTAAATATGTTTGTCTGTCTTTTTTTTAGATTCCACATATAAGTGATATCATATGGTATTTTTCTTTCTCTTCCTGACTTCACATTCTCCAGGTCCATCCATTTTGCTGCAAATGGCATTATTTTATAGTTTTTTATGTCTGAGTAGTATTCCATTGTATAAATATACCACAACTTCTTTATCCAGTCATCTGTCTATGGGCATTTAGGTTGTTTCCATGTTTTGGCTATTGTAAATAGCCAAAATGAACATTGGGGTGCATGTATCTTTTGAATTAAGGTTCCCTCTGGATATATGCCCAGGAGTAGGGTTGGATTGCTAAAAACTTTATTATTTTAAGCAGATGCTGTGCCTAGAGCTTTTCAATATGTTGATAGTGGTCATTAGGATAGCTAGAGTTCTCCTTTTTACTGAAGACAGTACTTAGCTTGTTTGGTTAAGTAATTGATTTACCCAGGGTCTCCCACAAAGCCAGTAAGTGCTAGCTCGGATCTTTGCGTCCAGAGTTGACTCCAGATCTCCACATCTTTCCTTTTCATGAAGTTTTTGTAGTTAAATGGCCTACTAGTTTATACTGGTAATACAAGAAGCTAATGGATGCAGCATATTTAATTCTAACTTTTTATTCTATAGACACCTAAGCATCTTAAATACTTTTATGCATTTACTTAATGGTGTAAGCATTTAATTTGCTGAAACGTCCTGGACATACTACTTCAGTGTAACATAAAATAGGAATTGAGACAAGTTGAGTTTATGCACAGGTTTTTATGATATCTTTAAGCAATTTAGGTTGCCTAATAATGTAGCATTCCTAAGGTTTGCAAAATTGTAACCTCCTTGTCTGCATGTGTAATGCTAGATGCCCATTGTTGAAGGGTTTTTTTGTTCAATGAATCAGGTGCCTCTTTTGCATAGCACAGAACAATGAGTAATAAGCATCTTGAGTTTTTTCCTTCAATGATTGTCTCTTTTGCATATCACAGAATAAGATAGCCTTGATGCTTTTTATTTTACTTTATTTAAAAGTTGTATTAACAAACTCACAAAAATAAAAGAAACTACATTTAAAATGCAGTAATCTTAAAATTAATAATGTTTTTTATTTTAGCACTTTTTCAGCCATTAACTCCAGGCTCTCGAGAATTTGAGGATGTTTTAAATATTCTTCACTCAGCTTACCTTGAACCAACTTCAGTAACAAATTTTAACTACAAACGTGCTTGCTTGATACATAATGAGCTTTTGGAAAAGGAGGTATGTTTTAAATTGTGCTTTTTGTGAGATTCTTTAGAACCAGTTAATAGCCGGAAATTTCTTTTACTTCTTTTTCTTTAAAAAATGCCAAAGTTTTTAGGAAAGCCAAATTATGGAAGGGAAAGCGATTTTAAATGACATGTTTTTTCCCTAAACACTGTTGATACTGTACTACATTTATCTGCTCTGTTAAATTAATGTGCAATTATATAAAATAACTTTAAAAATGAATCTTAAGCATAGGGATAGCTTATTGTATAATTACTTAGTTGTGAATTTATAACAAGGCTTTTTGCTCTTTTAAGTGTTAATTTAATTAAATGAAATCTTTAATAGCAAGTCTAAATTGGAAGATAATGAAATGTGTATTTATTTTAGGATATGCTTAATTTTTTCCCCAATTATTGCCTGATAGTTGAATTATCTTAGTATCATTCATAGAAATTCTTAGTGAAAAAGTGAGAACAAAGGGGAACAGTTGAGCCTGTTAGTGAATTTCAGTTTCATGTACAAATTAGAATATTCTTTGAGTTTTGATTTAGGAAAAACTAGCATCTGTAATTCTGAGGTAATACAAATGAAATGTTTAGAAATATTTGGTATGTATATTGTTTTCTAATATACATGAAATACTGTTAATTTTGTATTTTTATAAGTTGGTTAACCCAAGGCTATCAGAATTTAACTTTGAAAATATCCGTAAAGTAGATGAATATTACCGGCTCCCAGAGAAAATTAAAACCTTGGTAGTTTGATGTGGTTTCATGTTATGATAGGGGTTACTTGTTAATTTTATTCAAAAATTTAGTCTAAAGATTCATTATTGAAGATCAGTAATGGCATGTAATGCATGCAAATCTATAAGATGTGGGCTCCATATTTTGAATGTGTATCTATTTGCTTGTATCTATAGTGAAAGCCACAGCAGCAGTTTAGGGTGACTTAATAGTTCAGATGTACTTAGACCAAGTCACTCTTGATTCCTGGAAAATAATATGGAGCATGGCTTATATGCTTGGCAATGAAAATACAGTTGTAAAGAAATGAAACATTTTTCCTTGTCCTAATTGAGCTTATAGTCTAGAAGTTGGTCATTCAACAGAGATTTATTAAATCACCTACTGTATGCAGTGCACTATGTTAGGTAAAATGAGAGATCCAAAGATAATTAAAACATGAATTTAAGAATCTAGGGGAGAGTTGAAGTGTGGTAACATTTTAATAGGAATTTAGTTAAAATTGTTAAACACCACATGCATATTTGTCTATATCGTAAGGATAAAGAGCCAATTATAACAGGGAAAAAATTGAAGTGCAGGAATTACAGGAAGAAAATATAATTTCCACTTGGGTAGATTTGGAATTTCTTAGAAATAAAATTCCTGAAAGTCTTACCTTGAAAAAAACATAATCGCATGCTAAGGAGTTTTATAAATATAATTTCATTTAGTTTACAGAAAAGCGAAGAGAACTGAAGTTTGATGGTCGTTTAGATAAAGAACTTTCAGAATCCTATGCATTTCTGATGGTTGATCGATACCAGGTGAGTGAACCCACTTATTAAAAAACAATTTGAAAATGTTTCTATTGTAAGTTACTACATTTACGATTATTCAGTACACTTGATTTTTTATAAACTAAAAGTTTGATGTATAAATGGGAGAAATGATTTAGCAGGGCTGGGTATTTCATTGTTTCGTAATTTGCTTTTCAAATGTATTCATTTTTTTCTTTGATCAAACCTATTTTTTCCCCCCTAGAATGTGCATGATAATGAATAATTTTCCCATTATTAAAATAGATTATCTTCTGTATTCCTGATTATACATGCTGGGAACTATTTTTTTCTCCTCCTAATTGAAGATGTTAAGGTGGAGTTACTTTCTCTTTAAATACTTTGACAGTTTTAATTCTCTCTAAAAGGGATTGTTTATACATGTGAATACCATGAATTTTGAGTATCTGTCATACATAGCATAAACAAAAATGGATTCCAGCTGTGGTTACATTGGAAGTGTAAGCCAATGTCATGGTGATACTTAGTCATAAACTAAATATATATGTAATTTCTGTAATGTCGAACATATATAGTTTAGAAATTTAGATTTTACTTAAAACAATTTCTTTACCTAAAACAAGACAAGCTTATCTTTTCACATTTTTAATGTATTATGATTTCAAGATGAAATGTTCTGTTTATTTAGGTTCAAAGCATATGTGAAAAAGGATTACAGGTGGGCCAGTCCAAAATAACAATTCTTGGCAGTCCTTCCATGGGTAATTATTTTTCTTTTTTCATTTAGCACTCTTAAGTTGCCATTTAAAAATAAATTATCAAAAAAATAAAAATAAATTATCGGGGGATGGGTATAGCTCAGTGGTAGAGTGCATGCTTAGCATGCGCAAGGTCCTGAATTCAGTCTCCAGTACCTCCATTAAAATATACATACATGTATTATCTAATTTTGCTGCCGTCCTTATAATTCATGTATACTTTGTCATATTCCTAGGAAAAGAGACTAGTTTCAGGTTCTGCAGTGTAAAAACCATTTTATCCTTTGTTTCTGATTTTGCATACTTCCAATTGATCAAGGTGTTTTTTTTTTCATGTCAGTGTAATCCTCGTGATTTTCAAAAATTTGATTAGTTTCTTGCTTTTTCTGGTTCTTTTTTTTTTGCTTTGGTTTCATTGTCATTACATTTTTTTTTTAAGGTGTCATACCTTTTATCTCATCATTGGTTTAAATATTTGGACTTTTTTTTAGTATTTGTGTCCTTATTAAAATTGAAATTCTTTTATTTTTCCCTCTTTACTAGGTATCTATCTTTCTAGGTATGCTGACTTATTACAAGCTAATCCTTTGGAAGCTGGGGCAGTGGGTGATGTTGTTATTTTTAAAATAATGAAGGTAATTTCAGCTTGAACATTTTATATATCAAAGACATTTGATTTGGATTTTGGTTGACTCTGTCTTTAGGAGCTTGATTGAATTAAAAACCAGCGCTTGCTTGTGTTTGGTATACTTTTGAGAGTGGTTTGCAATCTTTGATGAGCTTACTGAACTTTAGAACTTTAGAGTTTGCTTTCATTTCCAAAGAAAAGAATGAAGAGAGAGAAATATGTTGGTAATGTCGTTTAAGCTAGTGAAGAATGTTGTGAATAATATTTTTATTTCCTTGTGTTAATAAATTCAAACCTGTCTTTTTTTTTCTGGCTAACTTTTTGTTACTGCTTCACTACTGGTAAACAGTGTTGGGTGTTACTTTATTACCAGGTATTAAAGGAAAAAACTTGTTATAGGTAGTATATATTGAAAGAGGTATTCTATAATAATAATGTTGTACAGTGAATAGTTAGGTTTAGGTAGACTTAAAAGGTTTTCTCTATTTCAGGGTAAAATAAAGAGTATATATGACCCCATGGGTGTAAAAAGTTTGGAATCTACATTAAATAAAAGTGCTCTGGACCCAACACCAAAACATGAATGTCACGTGTCAAAGAATGCCAATAGAGTTACATCAGTTTTGGCTTATAGAGCCTATGAGCTTACTCAGGTAGGTGTCTGGATCCATTTTAGTGTTATGACCTAATGTCAGTTTGTCACCGAATCTTTTGAAATGTGTCCCTTTTAGTTCCCTAGGCCACCACACTAGTCTAGACTCTGGTTTTCCACTTATCACCACTAGACTTAGTGACTCTCACTGTTATTTGTTCAGTGTTTCCAAGATGGCTCAGAAACATGCAGTGGCTCTCCTCACACTTACCAGAGTGGTGTTCAGGTTCCTTAGCCTAGCTAGCTCTCCCTGCCTGGAGACTGTGACCTCCAGCCTGATGTTTTGTATGACTGCTGCCCTTAAGAACCTCATTTCATTTTTAAGCCGTGGTTTCTCCTGGCCTAGAAGGGTCCCGCCAAATAAAAATATTATTTATGCTTCAAGGTAAAGTTGAAGCCCCTTGAATTACCTTAATTCATATCACTTTGTACTATTGATTTAATAGATATTTTCTATTTTTATTAACATTTTTCTAAAATGCAAACTGAGAATTGATTTTTAAGCTTTATTCAGATGCAATTGATATATAGTAAACTACACATACTTAAAGTATAAAACTTGATGAATTTTAGTCGTGTTTTTATATGATGTTTGACTATAAAGTTATGTTACTCTTTTTAACAAATGTATTAAAAATGTGTATATCCAAATGGGTTGTTACATGAAAAGTAGTGATGCTAACCTCCCTGGAAATATTCTTTTTTTCCTGTCTTTAATTTTTACTTTATTTAGATAAAGTAAGATTTACTCTTGCTCCTTTCTTTTTGAAGATCTGAGTGGGCAGGATCTATAGTTGGGGGCTTTAGCAAAAATTATATTCACCAAAATTATCTGGGCTGACTCATTTATTTACCTTCTGGACAGTAGTAGTATTGGTAGATATGAAATATAACTACAGAGTATTAATTGGTTTTTCTAGCAGAACTTGTAAACTGCTTTATATTTCCAAAAAAATTCCAGAAACTTAAACAGCTGCAGCATTATTGAAATCAGTAGTTTCCCAAGGGAATGGACTTTGGAGGACAGTGCTTTGTTTGTAAACTAGGGCATTCTTTTTTGTGAAACTCACTAGACTGCAGGTCAGAAAACCCTAACCTAATGAATGTTATGAACAGATGAGGGGGAGAGGCAGATGGGTAGTAGGAAGAGGTTCAGCTACCTTTGTCACCTATTTTTGTAATCTCTACCACCTCCCCTTTGCTGCTTTGTCTTCAGTAGAGTCACAAATAGTGTTTTTCTTTTGAAATAATAAGCAAAATTGTTTGCTTGAGATTGTGTTCTTAGTATTTTATTTTTGTGTCAGATTGGCTTTGGGGGGCTGACCTGGGAGCTTAGGCTCCATTTGCTTCATTTTTATGAGAAAATTTGAACATTCCCAGTGGTCAACTCATCAGAAGTAAACTTTTGTAATACCTATTAGTATTCTGGCATCTGATACACATACAGATAGAAGCAGAATGTTTTATATGATAAGATGAATATAAGATACAAATTATTTTATTTAACAAGCAGTGCTTAAAGATACCCTCTGGTGCTTAAACAGTATTGCATTTCTCAAAAATCCACATAAATACAAAATTCCACTCTGTACTTGCTTTCTTAAGTTAATTTTGCAATTTCCTATTTTTAGTATTACTTCTATGAGTATGGCTTTGATGAGCTAAGGCGAAGACCAAGACACGTGTGCCCATATGCAGTTGTGTCTTTTACTTATAAAGATGATATCCAAACACCGAAATTCGTACCTTCATCACGGTAAGACTCATGAGTTTTAGACATCATCTTGAATAGTATTGTATCACATATCCTGCACTGCTGAGTTAGGAGAAACACTTTGTATTCTTCCCATTTTTTTCCCTTCTCTTGAAATTAATTAGATACATGAGTGTTCATGGTGACTTCTAGTAAGTCAAATAGAAGAACAGATACTTAAACTATATGTAAATAAAAACTAAAATATACTTAAACCTCACTGGTTAACCCTTTTTTCCCTGATATTGAAGGTTTGCACAGTTGCATAAATGCAGTTTTTAAAAATGAAATTTTGTGTATTAGCTCTTCTGGAAATGGAGAGCTTTTACTAAAGCCTCAGCCCCATCTCAAACCAGTTAAAAATAATATTTATGAAGGAGCCGAGGCTTTGGAAATAGTTTATATAAGCTTCCAGGTGATTCTGATTGTCAGCTGAGTACCATTGATTTCTTACAAGCTTTAATATAAGGTGACCAAGTAGAAAGTAGTTTCTTTTATTTTTTTCCCCAGTGCATTGGTGCCAGACAATGTTTTGGCAAAATTAATTTATGGAGATGTAGGTGAAATGGTTAAATGTCTGCTTATTTTTACTTGAAATACTTGTGTTTAAAGTCATGCGTGATTTCTAATAATTTAGAAATACTGCCCATTTAAAAAGCCACATTTCATGAAACCAACATTTTTGAGGTCAACCTCTTTATCAGATTTCAGATCATATTGTCTTGCCTTCATTTAAGTTATTTGAGATCCAACGCTTTTTTTATGTCAGTGAATAGCCCTGGAAACCGCCATCCGCACCCACAAGAACTGATTCACATATCCTGAGAGTTGTGTTTTTCTTCCCCACCCCCCCTTTTTTTGTGGCTCTATATGATCTCCATGATACATTTACTATAGTGCCTTTCAATAGTGATCTTAAAAGATACCTAGCATTTAATTATGAGGTCATATCCCCAAGAATAATGATTGTTAATTTTCTTGGCTTCTTTGATTACGTCTGTTGGCCTCCATATCATTTAAAATGAGCATTGATTGAACATCTTTGTTGTACTCTGAATGCTGCCATGAAAGCTCCTATCTCTGCATTTGCTATTCAGTCTCATTCCCCAGTTAGCTGCATAGTTTACACCTACATTTCCATGATTTTTTAAAACCTCTGTACCCTAGTTTTTCTTCTTTTTTCTCCATAGCACTTAAAACTATCACTATTTGGTAAACTATATACTTACTTTGTGATTGTTGTCTGTCTTCCTTATGAGATTGTAAACTCTATGAAGACAGGGGTTTTGTTCATATCTGTAATCTTGTCACCTAAAACTGTGCCCGGTAAATAATAGGCATTTAGTAAATATTTATTAAATGATGGATGAACATATTTAAATATGATTGAGGCTCTTTCTTTGAATGTCATCACCAAAGTTAAGTAATTGACAGACACTTTAAAGGACTCTGTTCTCTCCTGATGGATATTTTTGGGGAAAACTGCTCCCTTAAATTTAGGTAAGTATGGTGATTTGAGCCAAGTAAGTAATTCCAGTTTCTGCAAGTAGACTTGGATTTACTAAATATTGTAATAAGTAATTAACTTGTTTTTTGTACTTGTAGAAAAGGGTTTAATTCTCTTATACAGTCTACCATTAAAAATAGCACTTCTATCAAGGCCCTGAATGTTAACTTTCATGTTGTCAGCAGTCAGTAACATTTCTCTTTTCCTTTTAAAAATTTATTTGTAGATCTAACAGCTTTAATACAGATAGAAACACAGGTAAGATTCTTATACTTCTTTCCTTTAGCTTTATAAATTGAAAGAATAAGTATGTAGAGTGAAAAATTTACAAGTGCTTTGTTTTGTTTTTATAATGAATGAGAATCTGCAAGATATAAAAAAGTTTGAGGACGTGTTATAATGTGGCAACATTTAGTCATCCAAGCATAAGGTCCCCTTTGAGAATCTGCTGGTTCTATGAATAGACCAGAGTGTTAGCCCTTTGATTGATAAAGATTAAAAAAATAAAGCAAGTTTCACAGGTCAGCCGTTTAAAAGGATTAAATTCATTAGCAGTTTAGAACTTAGAAGAGATAAAGAAGATTGAAAGCAATATTGATATTTTCTATCTTCACGTTTATGCGCAATGAAAAGAACGTGAGTAGAAGCTAGAAGACATTGTGGGGGATTGATGTAGTTAACCGGGTTTAATACAGTCTCCCAAGGGGGCAGTACTGTACTGTATTGCCTTTGCTCCTCAGCTTTCTGATATAAGGGCATTTAGACAAATAAATCTGTTACTCTTTGCAGCTGAAATAATTTTGTAGGGGAAAAGATACCTGAAACAAAAGTCCTAATATTTGAATTCCCTGTAAATAGAAATGTCAAGATTTTCCTTGGTAGTTGTTGTTCTTCTTAAACTGTTTCTGGATGTTTTTCCCCTTATTTCTGGTAAACATGTATTTGCTTCTGGGCTGCCAAGAGGCTGAGTTGTGTCATTATTCTTTTTATTTAGATAAATTTAACTACACGTTGTGGAAAGGACAGCTTTTAAATAAAGGAAAGCTTTTGTGTTATATTTCTCTGAGGTCAGCCACTCGTGCTTTTTTGCCTATCAAGCTGTAAGTATGTTATATTACAAGAAAATAGTGGTTGCTAATTACTCGGTTCTTACTTACTTTTAAATTTTCTTTTTCTTACTTTTCCTTACTTAGGTTTAAATTTTACTTTGGTCTATAAGAATTTAAATATAAACACTGGTTTTTGAAAAGACTGATAACTTTTCAAACTTAATTGGCAAAATGAGTCTTATGCTTTTCTGTCTTGATTTGTGAATGGGCTAAATACTCATACGAATTTATGGCATAAAACTTTTTCTTAGTGATTTTAAATCTTAAGAGTGATTTTGCAAAGTTTTGTCCTAATTAGATACATTTTTCATTTAGTAATTTGAACATGATAGACTTAAGTTACCAGTTTTGTTGGAAATAGCTTGATGTGGTGAGTTAAGTTAAAATTTATAGGCTGTTTTCAGTCTTGTGCAACATATGTTGGAATAGAAAGGCTTAAAATGATCTTGTGCTACCACCACAATAAATATTAATGGGCCCTCATAAATGATTGAAGATCAATGTATTGGTTCATACTTGAATTATCTTTAATAAAATGACAACTTTTTATCCTTTGTGGTTAGTAAAATTGGCATATCGGATTAGCTTCTGGCTTAAGGTGGAAGGTTGGTAATATTGCCAGGCTATCTAGCTGCCTTACGTACATCTGAACTTGACATATCAAATATCAAGTATGATAATAAATATATTCATCTATATTCCTTCAAGATACTTGTGTGTTTGTAAGTGTGAAAGAGAGAGAGAACACTGCTAGAGTTAAAAATACAGGTAAGGCAAACATGCCTTTTCAATTTTCTTTCAGTCCTGAGAAGTTAGATGTTGAAACAGTTATGAGTATTGATCATCTGAAACAGAAAATTCCTTCAGCGCTGTTTTATAAGGAAACATACTTAGGTTCAAATGAAGGTAAAGTAATTTAATTTTACTAAAATATATAAGAAGCAGACTTGATTTGAATATTTACTATGTTTTTTTCTTATGTCAGTTTTGAAGAATGGAATGTATTGCAGCCTTTATGAAGTTGTAGAAAAGACGAGAATTGGAAGTAACATGGAAAGTTTGCTACAAAAACTAGAGAGAGAAAAACTTGTGAGTGAAAGATTTAAAAATGTTCTTCGTTCTCCCTTAGAAATATGCATATTAATAAGTAATCATAATAATACTTCAGTTTATTTCATTTTTGCCTCTGAAAGTACTATGAGATCTGTTGCTGCTATTTTAGTTAACAGTGTTCTACGATGGCCTCCGGTACTCTTTTTAGCCATGACACTAGATCTTCTGTAGACTGGTGTTCCCCATGAAGTATCTCTACTGTATTTTGTGACTGTGATATTCAACAAATATTTATTGACTATCATTTTTTAATGCCGGGTATATGTACAGCACAGTAAAGAAGGAGACAAGAGACACTGTTCTCTTGGATCATGGGATAAGTAGAGTTACTCAGGTAGATGTGGTTTGTTCCAGTAGAAAGTAACATATTGGAAGATTCAAAAAGAACAAGGTACTTGGTAGGGTGAAAGGATAAAAGAAAACTAGAGTAGTTGGGGGAAAGTGGCAGAACATGAGTCAGGAAAAATGTGTAGGGGGCTATATTCTGCAGTGTCATGCAGGCAGTGCTCAAATGTTTGGATATTTGGACTTGATCCTAGAGCAGTAAGTTTTAAAGGGAGATGAGGTTTCAATTGTATTTGCAATGTGATCAGATTGTGTTTTGAAATTTTCCTTGGTTACTCTAGAGAATGGATTGAAGGGGGGAGGTGAGATAGAAAACTATTACATTAGAGGGTAACATAGGTTGGATGAGAAGGGAAAAAGAAGAGCCTGATTTGTGTGTGTGATATAACATGGGAATTCAACTTCATTTTTTCCCCCATATGAATAACAAATTGTTCCTGAACCGTTTACTGAATAGTGTATCTTTTCTCCACTAAGAAGTCTTGATATCAGGTAGGGAAAATTGCCCTACTTTTTTCATCTGTTTTAGGATGTTTTGCTATTTGAGATTTAGTTTTTTTCCCCTCAAAATTTGAGTATCAGCTTACTTTTTTAAAAAAATTTTAAAATTAGCTTGTTAGTTCCTCCTAGCCACCACCACCGAAACAAACAAACTAAAAAAACGCAAAAAAGCCTAAAACCCAAACCTCACTGGAATTTTTAAATTGGAATTATATTAAAAATAGGTAGATAAACTTTGAGAGAATTGACATCTTTGTGATACTGCCTTATCCATCAACAATATTATCCCTTCACTTCTGTAGGGTATTCTTTTAACAGAGTTTTGTAATTTTCTGGATACAAGTCTTGCCCCTTTTTTGTTAGGTTTATCCCCAGGCATCTTATTTATTTAGATGCTGTTGTATACAGTATTTTCCATTTCATTACATTTTCTGTTGTGTATATAAAAATGTAATTGATAATTTATATATTGATTTTATGTCAGATCAGTATGAAATTTGAATAATTTGTTCATTTTTGTACATTCTTTGGGATTGCTCTATAGATTTCATTACTTGGGGGCAACCTTGTTTTGTTTTTTCCTCTCTAATCTGCTTTTTATTTCTTTTACTTGTGTTATTATGCAATCTCGGATCTCTAGTATAATGTTGAATAAAAGTGGCGATTGTAGGCATTCTTGTCTTTTTGATTTTCACAAGAACACCTCTAACATTAAACATTGGGTAGAAAATTTGCACTAGGGTTTTTTTTTTTAATAGTTATGTTTATTGGTTTAAAATTTTTCCTTTATTTTTTAACAATGAATGGGTTTTGAATTGTACTGATTTTTTTTTCCCTTTAATCACGATGGTTACATGGTTAGAAGTAAGGGTTCATTAAAACAACAGAACCCATAGGATAAGCAGGTTTTTAAAAAATTAAATAATTAAGGATAAACAGTTGACACAACATTGGTTTGAACTGTGCATGTTCACTTGTATTCAGATTTTTTTCAGTAAGTTGTGTTACAGTAGTACATGATCTGTGGTTGGTTGGATCTGTGGATGCAGAACTGCAGATAAGGAGGGCTGACTGTAAAGTTATATGCAGATTTTCAGCTGCAAAGGGGTCAGTTCCCTAACCCCCACATTGTTCAAGGGTCAACTGTATATACATACAGGAGGAGATTTACTATAAAAAATTGGCTTGCACAGTTATGGAGGCCAAAGAGTCCCAAGATTTGCAATTGGCAAGCTGGAGACCCAGGAGAGCTGATGGCATCGTTCCAGTCTGAATCCAAGTGTCTCAGAACCAGGAGAGCTGATGGTTCCAGTCTAAGAGCTGGCAGCTTGAGACCCAGGAAGAACTGATATTTCAGTTTGAGTTCAAAGACAGGAGAAAAACTAGTGTCCCAGCTTGAAGGCAGGCAGGCAAGGAGAATGTCCCCTTACTTCAGGGGCTTTTTGTTCCAATCAGACCTTTAGCTGATTAGACAAGATTCACCCACATTGGAGAGGGCAACTTGCTTTACTCTGCCTATCCATATATATATATATTCAACTCATCCAAAAATACTCTCAGAAACATCCAGAGTAAAGTTTGACCAGATACCTGTCTGGACACCCTGTGGTCCAGTCAAGCTGACACATAAAACTAACCATCATACATACTATTTTTTCCTATAAACTTAATAAGATGAATTATATTTATCTTTTTTCAGTATTAAACTATTCCTGTGCTGCTGGTTTAGAACACCCTCCCCCACGTTTTTAAAAATACTTGTTTGGTGTGTGAATATTTTGTTTAGGAATTTTGTATCTGGTGATGAGTGAGATCAACCTATAGTTTTTCTCATATTGTCCTTACCTACTTGTAGCAAGGTTATACTAGCTTCCCAGAATTGTGGGTAGTGTTTCCTTATTTTGCAAAAAAAAAATATGTATATGATAAGAAGATCTGTTCTTTGGATGTTGGGTAGCACTTAAATGTAAAACTGTCTTTCAGGTGTTTATGAGTGAGTTTAAACTACTGATTCAATTTTTATAATAGAAAACAGGTTTTCTATTTCTTCTTGAGTTGATTTGGATATATTATGGTTTTGTTTTTTAGGAAGTTGTCCATTTCATATATGTTTTAAAATTTATTGAGCTAGAATGATTTAGATAGTCTTTTTAATAGCTGCTGTGAGCATTTTTACATGACAGTATTTTCATTATGCCATCTCCTACCAGTCATTTTCACCAGAGGTTTGTTGATTTTATTAGTCTTAAGAACCAAATTTTGTCTTTGACCCTCTGTTGTACCTTTGTTTTTTCCCTGTTTTGTTAATTTCAGCTGTTTTAGTCTATTTTGAGGGGAGTTCATTTAGTTATTTCTGACTTCTATTAGAAAAAATGGTCAGTGAATTTTGAATTCCTAGTCCTACTTTAGTTACATTCCACATGTTTTAATGTGTAGTATTTTCATTATCATTCAGTTGTAAGTATTTTTTAGTTTCCATTATGATTCCCACTTTGACACATGATGTGGAGGTATATTTAAAAATTTCCATCTGTATAAGAATACTTTCTTTTTCCTTATAATTTAATTCCATTGAAATCAGAACAGATAATTATTTGAAATTTATTAAGGTTTGATATAAAACCATTCTGTGGTTACTTTTAGTACATGTCCTCTCTGTATTTGTGAGAAATGTATATTTTCCAGTTGTTAGATCCAGGGAACACAATTCTGGGTTGACAGCTGTTCTTTAAACACTTTGACTGT